TTAATTCGAACCAAGGATAAAGCTTTTGAAACCTTCATTCAATATAAGAATGGAGTTAAAAATCAACTTGGTAAGAAGATTAAAAAACTAAGAAGTGATAGAGGCGGTGAATATGAATCACATTTTGGTGAGTTTTGTAATGACTATGGAATAATTCATCAAACCACCGCTCCTTACTCACCTCAGCAAAATGGAATTGCTAAAAGGAAAAATAGGACTTTAAAAGAAATAATGAATGCCATGTTAATAAGTTCTTGATTACCTCAAAACTTGTGGAGGGAAGCAATAGTTTTTGCTAATTATATTCTAAATAAAGTTTCCCGGAAGAAAGTAAATCAAACACCTTATGAAATGTGGCATGAGAGAGAGTACCATCCTACAAATACTTAAAAGTGTAGGGGCATTTGGTTAAAGTGGCTATTCCTAGTCCTAAAAAGACTAAGATAGGTCCTAAAATTGTTGATTGCATATTCATTGGTTATGCCATGAATAGTAGTGCATATCAGTTTTTGATTCATAAGTCACAACATTCCGAAATGCATGTAAATACTTTTATTAAATCTCGGAATGCATCATTCTTTGAACATGTGTTTCCTAATAAAACTAGACAATGGATTAGTACTAATAAAAGATCTTATGATACTATTACTAGTCATGATGAAGAACAAGATTAAAAACAAGTGCAAGAGTTAGATGAAAATGAAAAAGAGGAACCTAGGCATAGTAAACATGCTAGAACCTCAAAATCTTTTGGTCTAGATTTTCTAACTTTTTTGTTAGAAAATGAGCCTTTAACTTTCAAAGAAGCTATGTCCAGTCCTGAATCTCCTTTATGGAAAGAGGCTATAGATAGTGAAGTTGAATCCATCTTCCAAAATCACACTTGAGAATTAGTGGATCTGCCACTAAGTTGTAAACCTCTTCGGTACAAGTAGATTTTCAAGAGAAAAATAAAAGCGAATGGATCAATCGACAAATACAAGGCAAGACTTGTTGTCAAAGGATATGGACAAAAAGAAGGTCTTGACTACTTTGACACATACTCACCAGTTATTAGGATAACATCCATTAGAATGTTAATTGTCATTGCATCTTTGAACAATTTAGAAATTCATCAAATGGATGTGAAAACAGCTCTCTTAAATGGTGATGTTAGGTTTTTATTCTTCGCAATCCCGTTTGACAAAACTCATTTCAGTTGTAATTGTATTCGATCTTTTATTTCAGTGTGACTGAGTTTTAGATGCAAATTCAACCCGAATTATGTCTTGCAGAGATATTTTAGAAGTTAATTCGTTCATGATTGCCACTTCGCAGACAAAACTTATTATTATTATTATTATTATTATTATTATTATTATTATTATTATATGTATTATTATTATTTATAATTAATAATGGAAGAATTACATTAGTGGAGAATAAAAATATATATTTATAAAAGGTAAAAGATTTTAATTTTAATTTTAATTGTTAATATTTATAATATTTATTATTTTTTTATAATTTTTTTTATTCATAGCTATCACAGGATTTTAATAGGGATACTTATTCATAAATCCTTCCTCATTTACTTATGTTTCATTTAGTCTAAACTATTTTTTTAGATTCCGTTATGTCTTGTGAGTGACATTTTTTTTTTGATCAGCAAAACGAAACTTTATTGATGAAAGAAAGCCATTACAGCAGAACATCGAAGCATCAATAAAGAGCAAGTGCAACAAGCATCATAGCATTACAAACCCATCCCAACTAAGTTGGCACCGGCTTGAACGCCCAATCATATGCTAGCACCGCAAGTTTGGTGAGAAACCAAATAAAGAAACAAAAACCAACCCAATAACAAGACTATCAGCACCTAGTAGCAAACACCACTACGACCCTTCCTCACCCCATTAGTCTCTGATATGTTGTAGGTTTGTGGATGACATATTACCAAAATTTCCTGTTGGCACCGGCTTGAACGCCCAATCATATGCTAGCACCTCAAGTTTGGTTAGAAACCAAATAAAGAAACAAAAACCAACCCAATAACAAGACTATCAGCACCTAGTAGCAAACACCACTACGACCCTTCCTCACCCCATTAGTATCTGATATGTTGCAGGTTTATGGATGACATATTACCAAAATTTCCTTAATAATAATAGGGTGGAGCGTGCATTAATGTTTTATAATGTGAACATTCACATTGTCAAATTTATTTAAGGGTTAATTAAAAAAAAAAAAAATCCAAGGTTTCACTCGTTTTACATTTTAAACCTCAACGTTTCAATTTTCACAAATTAAATCCTGTAATTCCATCCACGTTTCAGCGTGACCCCTGTCCATCTCCTTTTGTGTAAAGAAACGGAGAATCATCAATTTTGTCCATCACACCCTTCTTCATTTTCTACACCATCCCACCTCTCCACCTTTACAATAATAAAGTCCAGATCCTTTACTATCCCATCCTCGCTGCTCAACCTAGCCTTTCGGTGACCCAAGTCCCCCCTCCGGCAACCTCAACCCTCACCAATTGTTATTGCATGGCCTTAAGATACATGTTAAAAAACTTCAAAATGTTATATATTATGCATGAAAGGGAGTGCAAATAAATAATGTATAGTACTTTCGATTTAAAATTACACATTAATAAGACAAGCAGTTCTACTAACACGGAAAAGGAACATAGAATGATCTACAGAAGCTGATGTGGCTTCTTTCAACATGTAACTGAAAATAAATAAATAAAAACACAACCACATGCCTTCTGTGAATAGGTATATGTTCCATGTATGTGTTATTGGTATTACTTTACATTGTGTTGGGTTGAGAGATTTTGGGAAAGATTTGGAAAGAAAAAGGAAAAAATTGTGTAAAATTAGATGAAATATAGATATATTTTATTCACATTTCACTTACCTTTTCCATTTCCCTTTTCAAATTCCTCTTCAAATTACTCAACCAAACACAACATTAAAATAAATATATAGAGTATATAAATTGAACCTATTTGAATAAATAAAAAAATTGGTAAACTAAAGTTTCTATTGGGAATTGACTTTGTAAATATATTTTTTAATTTTTCTATAAAAATACATACAAAAATGTATAATGAATGTGTTAACTTATTGATTATCTATTCAAATGCTCATAAATATATTTACTAATTTATTATAGTGTAAATAGAAACATATTGGTGTTACATGTATCAATTAGTATACCAATTAGTTAGGGGTGATCATAATCCGTCCAACCCGACCAATCCAATCCAACCGGACTGATTTTTGATGGATGCATCTCTCTTGGCAGACGGATACAGATGAAATATTTCGAAATTTGCTAATACAGTTCGGATGGCAGATCAACCATCTCGCATTTGCATGAACTTGATTCGCCCGTAGATGAAGTTCAAAACAAAAATAAAAAGGAATTGCTAAAAAGTAACAACATAGAATACAAATAACAAAATATATATTTTTGTAAAAATAAAAAATAATACCTTAAAAATATGCATGTATGGTGCCATGGACTATTATAGACAAATAATACATATTTTTTTCAAATTACTAGTTACTGAAAATTGTAAAAGTAATGAATTATAATTCAAAAAAATGATCAAAATTTGTAAAATTTCTAGGGTGTGGTGGATGGCGGGAAGAATGTTTTGCCTAGCAATGGACGCTAGCTACCTATGGAGAGCCAAAAAGAGAATTGGCAAAATGCCTTCTCAGTTGCATAGCGCGTTGGAGCTTCGAAATTCAGCTTCAATAGACAAAATGCCTAATTCTCCCATTTTGGCTCCTGCGTTGGAGATGCTTTAAGGCTCCGTTTCATATGTTCATTTGGTTAATTGAAAAATGTTTTGGACCACTAATTCTTGAGCTCTAAAACCAACTTTGATGAATTCGTAGTGGGCTCCACGCGTGATGTGATGTTTTGATCTTGATTTTTTTTTCTTCATTGCCATGTCATTAGTGCTGCATTAGAGTACCAAAATTAATGTTCTGAATCATTGTTGTGATTAATTTGGTCCTATAGAATAAAATTAATTATTTTAATTAAATAAGATAAAATATCGCATATAAATTATAATTATTTTATTTTTTTCATAAAAATTAAAAAAATTTATTCCAAGCAATTTTTAATCCCAATTAAAATAGTTAAAAAATTAAAAAATTATTTTTTTCTCGTAAAAATAAAAAAAAACTATTCCAAACGGAATTTTTTTAATCCTAAATTAAAATAGTTAAAAAGCCTTAAAAGAAGGTTAATAAACACGTGTCTCGTCCAGATTGCAGCCCCCATTCCTCTGATCGAGCTTCTACACCGTAACTCCCCTGCGACCGCACTCTTCCTTCGATCCATTTCTGAATCACCCATCATCTCTCTCGATCAGTCGCAAGCCAAAAAGAGAATTGGCAAAATGCCTTCTCAGTTGCAGAGCGCGTTGGAGCTTCGAAATTCAGCTTCAATAGGCAAAATGCCTAATTCTCCCCTTTTGGCTCCTACGTTGGAGATGCTCTATGGCTCCGTTTCATATGTTCATTTGGTTAATTGAAAAATGTTTTGGACCACTAATTCTTGAGCTCTAAAACCAACTCTGATGAATTCGTAGTGGGTTCTACCCACTGTGATGTGATGTTTTGATCTTGATTTTTTTTTCTTCATTGCCATGTCATTAGTGCTGCATTAGAGTACCAAAATTAATACTCTGAATCATTATTGTGGTTAATTTGGTCCTATAGAATAAAATTAATTATTTTAATTAAATAAGATAAAATATCACATATAAATTATAATTATTTTATTTTTTTCATAAAAATTAAAAAAATTTATTCCAAGCAATTTTTAATCCCAATTAAAATAGTTAAAAAATTAAAAAATTATTTTTTTCTCGTAAAAATAAAAAAAAACTATTCCAAACGGAATTTTTTTAATCCTAAATTAAAATAGTTAAAAAGCCTTAAAAGAAGGTTAATAAACACGTGTCTCGTCCAGATTGCAGCCCCCATTCCTCTGATCGAGCTTCTACACCGTAACTCCCCTGCGACCGCACTCTTCCTTCGATCCATTTCTGAATCACCCATCATCTCTCTCGATCAGTCGCAACTGTACCGAAGAAGAACCAGACCCCAGACAAAGAAGAAAATGACTGAGGCCACGATAAGGAACAAACCGGGCATGGCGAGCGTGAAGGACATGCCCATAGTGCAGGACGGTCCGCCGCCAGGCGGCTTCGCTCCGGTCCGGTTCGCCCGGCGGATCCCCAACAAGGGTCCCAGCGCCGTCGCCATTTTTCTCACCACTTTCGGCGTCTTCTCTTGGGGCATGTACCAGGTCGGCAAGGGCAACAAGATCCGAAGGTCCGAATTTCCATCATCGTCTCTCTCTCTCTCTATCTCTCTCTCTCTATATATATATATATATATTGTTTTATGTGTGTCTCACTGGATTGTATGCATGTATTGTGTGTATTTGATTTTGACTATAGTTATTGAAATGGGTGTTACTGATTTGGCATATCAAGATTGAGACTTGAGCTTGTAAATTTGGGTTTTTGCTAATTTTATGGAATGAGCCCTAGAAATGGGGGAAAAAATGTATTGCTGATTTTGACTTTAACTGTTTCCATTTCTTACACTCCGTTTGGATTGAGTGGTTTGGCGAGAAAAGAAAAAAGAAACGAGAGAATGAGATTTCTCACTGTGTCTTTGGACGATTAATGAGGTGGGTAATGGTGAGAAATTGTGAGAAAGCTAAATCACACCGAGGTATGTTTTGTTTCTCGCTAAAAGTGGTGATATTTGGTGAGAAACCAAGCTTCTTTTCCTTGAAAGGGGATTTGGTGGGTTGGAGCCCCCTCGTTATGCTAGGTTTGGTTGGGGGAATTGGGAAGGGATTTGAAAAGGGAAAGAAAATGTGTGTGAAATTAAGTAAAAACTAGGTATGTTTTATTCACGTTTCACCAACCTTTTGTCATTTTTCTTTGCAAATCTCTCCTCAAATCCTCCAACCAAACACAGCATAAGTGACATTTTTTTTGGGGGGGTGGAATGCTGATCTCTGTGTAGGAATCTTTATGTTAATTAGGGTGGCATGTGCAAAAGTGATGAGAAACTAGGCCCATGTTCTTTTACATTGTAGAGTGGCAAGAGAGTTATGGGACTTGAGCTTCTTGATATTTTGGATCTCTTAGGTTTTTTCCGGAGTGGTGAAATTCATGCATGTGTGAAGGGGCGGCTGTGTGGGGAAGAGATTCAAGAAGAAGAGCATGGCTTTGTTGATGATTAGACTAAACCCGGATCAATTTCTTGACTTCGTTTAAACACAGCATAAGTGACATTTTTTTTTGGGGGGTGGAATGCTGATCTCTGTGTAGGAATCTTTATATGTTAATTAGGGTGGCATGTGCAAAAGTGATGAGAAACTAGGACCATGTTCTTTTACATTGTAGAGTGGCAAGAGAGTTATGGGACTTGAGCTTCTTGATATTTTGGATGTCTTAGGCTTTTTCCGGAGTGGTGAAATTCATGCATGTGTGGAGGGGTAGGTGTGTGGGGAAGAGATTCAAGAAGAAGAGCATGGCTTTGTTGATGATTAGACTGAACCTGGATCAATTTCTTGACTTCGTGTATGACTTAGTTTTGTAAGGTGCATATGGTTTTGTTGGGTCCTTTGTGGCTCGAGCATAGGCTTAACGCAATGATTTAATTTTCCAAACTTATATTTAATTGCTTTGTTTGATGAATATTGAATGATAGTTGACTTGCTGTTTGGTTTTCTTTTGGAGGGCCATATTCTCCACACCCCCACCCGTGCCGCCATCCCCCATGGCGAGTTAGCCTCCTCCTTTCCCTTTTTTATGCATTTTATTTCCTTTAATTTTTTGTTTTATTGATCTATATTCATGGCTTTTGTAGTTTGTAGATCACTGTTCTACAGAACAAATGCCCTGTGTGCATCAGTGATTTATTTTATTTTTTCAATAGCCAAAGTTCTCTCTCTGCTTGGCATCTTTCAGAAGGTTCTAAACCTCACTTCGGCAGCATCTGGGAGATAAATACAAAGATAATATATCTTATTATGCATGCTTTAATAACCCTTACCTAATGTAGTGTTGCTATAGTTTTTATTATTATCTATTATTTAGTTTTTAAGTTTTTTTAGTTTTTTTTTTCCTCTTCCCTTCGGTGACGTATTCTGAATTCTGATTGCATCCATTGCTAGATGCATCTTTCTTAAATTTGATTGTGTCCACTGGTAGATGCACCTATCTTGAATGAAATTCAATTATTGGTCTAATCAAATACCCAATACTTCACTTGTGAAGGTGTTAGGCTGTACTTATAAATGAAGTTGCAGCAAAGGTGCTACTTCTTTGGTGTTTCAGGAATCATTCTCCATTTGTGCTGGGGTACCTTGACACCATAATACCTATCTATTTTATGATGAACCGATCGCCTATCATGGAAAGATTGAAAATGCTGTGAGGCTGCTCTCCTTATAGAAGGCATCAATTGCCTTGAAGAGTTTGAGACCAATGGGCCGATCAAAAAAAAAAAAAAGTTTGAGCATAATGGATATGATTTTAAGCTTTTCTAACAAGATGGTCCCACACACCAATCAGGTAGAGGCATTTAGATTGTGTTGCTTATGTATATATTTGATAGGTAGCTATCTAGAAAATAGCTGTGTTTTATATTTCAGGGAAGGTACACTTCTTAATTTAGGCTGCAAGTTTGGTAGATGGCCCGTCCTGATTACTTTTCATCTTCTACTCATAGTAGACACTCTCGAGTCTATAGTTTTTTTAGTTTTTTTAGTTTTTTTTTTCTCTTCCCTTCAGTGAAGTATTCTGAATTCTGATTGCATCCATCGCTAGATGCATCTTTCTTAAATTTGATTGTGTCCACTGGTAGATGCACCTATCTTGAATGAAATTCAATTTTTTGTCTAATCAAATACCCAATACTTCACTTGTGAAGGTGTCAGGCTGTACTTATAAATGAAGTTGCAGCAAAGGTGCTACTTCTTTGGTGTGTCAGGAATCATTCTCCATTTGTGCTGGGGTACCTTGACACCATAATACCTATCTATTTTATGATGAACCGATCGCCTATCATGGAAAGATTGAAAATGCTGTGAGGCTGCTCTCCTTATAGAAGGCATCAATTGCCTTGAAGAGTTTGAGACCAATGGGCCGATCAAAAAAAAAAAAAAGTTTGAGCATAATGGATATGATTTTAAGCTTTTCTAACAAGATGGTCCCACACACCAATCAGGTAGAGGCATTTAGATTGTGTTGCTTATGTATATATTTGATAGGTAGCTATCTAGAAAATAGCTGTGTTTTATATTTCAGGGAAGGCACACTTCTTAATTTAGGTTGCAAGTTTGGTAGATGGCTCGTCCTGATTACTTTTCATCTTCTACTCATAGTAGACACTCTCGAGTCTAGTAGTGGCAGGGAGGGAATGGAACTATGACGGTCTGTTAGAGTTTTCCCGGAAGCTGCTCTTCTGCTTCATTAGTTTTGTAACTTTGCTACGATTGTACGAAACAAGTTCAAAAGGTGGTGAAAGTATATCTGTTAGGTTATTGTGCTTGCCATTGCCAATTTCTAATCGTCAAAATACTTCTTCCTATTGTCACTCCTTTTCATTGGGGATAATTAATAAAGTCATTCATGTATGATATGCTCATAATATCTCATTTATTTAGGGAGCTTAAGGAAGAAAAATATGCTGCGCGCAAAGCTATACTGCCCATGCTTCAAGCTGAAGAGGATGAAAGGTAATCTTCTTTTCAGTGTATCTATCCTTCCAACCCATCCCCATCATATTCAACTAACTGCACTAACTTGAACACCTTTCTTTTCCTTGTATGTGTGTTTTATTTTATTTATTTTTTATTTTTTATTTTAGATTTGTGAAAGAGTGGAAGAAGTATCTTGAAGAAGAGGCAAGAATAATGAAGGATGTGCCCGGGTGGAAAGTTGGTGAAAGTGTCTATAACTCTGGAAGATGGATGCCTCCTGCAACCGGTGAGCTCCGTCCTGATGTCTGGTAAGATGCTTGGTGTGTTTTGAACACAGAAAGTCGTGCATTGTTCGCCGTCAAAAGCCGGTCTGTTTCCCTTCTTGCGAGTTTGTTGGTCTCCTTGACATTATCCTCCTTCAAGGTGAATAAAAATGTTTTTGAAAAACTCTGTTCACATGTGATGAAATGATAAAGCACTACTCTCTTATTAATACCATTGTCTACTTTTCTATTTACCTTAAAAAAGTTTAGGATTATGGAACCTTGTTTGTGCCATATTTTATGCGAAAATGGTGTGATGATGATGATAAATCTTCTTTTGTCTACATACCGCTGGGAAGCTGAGACAATTGTGTGTTTGCTCTTTAGTTGTGATTAATAAGGAGTTTTATTTGGTAGCAAATTTTCAACTACCAAATTGATCTTGATACTTTCCTTCAATAATGCATGTCGATGCCATCTATGAGTTATGTTTATTAGGGTGATCATAGTTTCCAATCTTGAAGCAAAAAATTGAAACAATCGAGGCAGAGAAAACAAAATGGTAAGATAAAGATGATATATCATTTAGAGGCATGAGAGATGAGCCAGAGAGTGACTGAGTTCTAGTAGTTTTAACTAGATTATGATGAAGTGAGTTCATAAGTTATTACACAATTGTAACCCAGTCATTCATCTTAGTCCGCTTCGCATTATTGTTGCTAATATAAAAACCATCCGTCCTTGCAACCAGTAACACTTCAAATTTGGTTGTTGATCAACTTGACAATAGTTGATGGACAGTCTGCTGTTGTAAACATCAAAGACTCTGCTTGCAACCCCAATAGAAGTGGCAGAAGTAGAGAGTGTTTCCAATGAAATTGCGATCGAATTTCCAATAAAGTTCCTGACCAGTTGTCAGGATATGTGTACCCAGATCGTTATTTTTAGATTGCCAACAAACTTGCAATGGTGAGGGAGTGTTTGGGACCCCGCTAATTACATGCATCTCAACTGAGGGGGTGATTCTATCTCCATTCATCTCAGCTTAGCCGGTGAGGCTATCTTCATGCACACAGTGTGTTGCAAACAAAGTTAGATGCCAAGATAAGAAACAGAAGGGGCAGTTTGGTCATTGTGAAACTGATATTGTCAAAATTATGTTGATATTATTTAATGTACTTTGCTTCCTTCCTTAGAATCTATGTGGATTTTGGTTATTCATGTTTGGTTACTAGAATCTATGTAGATTTTGGTAATTCATGTTTGATTACTAGTATTTATGTGGATCACCTCTCTTTTTCAAGTAAATTACACGTTGCATTTTTGTACTTTACATCAAATTTTACCTTGATCTCTTATTTTTCAATTGCAACAGTCAATCCCTTACACTTAATTTCCTAACGGAAATTGTCATATGACCATTCCATGAGCCAGTTTTTATATATATAAAAAAAAATGTGTAATTTCTTTTTTATTCTCTATTTTTCACTGTATTCTCTCACTATTGTGAAAGGGATGGTGGTGGTGAGTTTAGAAAATACAGTACAAAGAAAAAATAACAATGTGAAAAATAAAGAAGTAAAAAGAGAAGCAAAAAATATAGTAAAGAGAGAAAATAATAATGGGAAAAATAAAGAAGTAAAAAAGAAAGCAAAGCTGAAAATATGTCTCGTATGATATTTACATGACAATTTCAATTAGAAAATTTAACACCAAAATGAAAGGGTGACAAAGCAACTTAGTTTGGCAAAGTACATTTTGCTCCCAAGTGTAAGAGGTTGATTGGTATAATGAAAAAAAATAAGAATTTAAAGTGAGGCTTATGCCTCGTTTGTGAATAGGTTATTTTAGTAACTTTTTGACTTTTTGACTAAAATATGAGGAAAAAAAAATAGTATATTTCGGGTGATCTTTTGGCTTTTTACGAAAAATGTGTAAAAAATAGAGAGAAAATGGAATCTTTGACTTTTTAATATAAGTTATAAGTTTTTTGATTTTTTTAATAATTTTTTGACTAAACTATTAACTTGTCAAACGAGGTCTTAATATAAAATATAGAGATGCAAAGTGTAATTATGTGACCTTGTTTGTGCCATATTTTAGGCGAAAGGTTGTGATGGCGATGTTTTCAACCACCCCTGCTATGGCATTGATAAACCAAATCAATAATTTATACAGAACATAAAATCTATGGCTAATATTCATTTATGGAGTAGACTCACAATCATATTATTAGAATTTTGATTCGGATCTTATGATTTTACGATTTATTTAAGTACAATCGATTCGGATCGTGTAAAAAATTCTTTATAAGTAAGATCTTTTGTTCCTGGTAATGGAATCTTATAGGATCGTAGAATTCTGATCCGAATCCGATCTTATCCGATTCAATTTACAAGTTTTGTTTTGTATTGTATGACATATTTTATTGTAAATTTTATGTTTGTTATCTAAATACCAATTTATGTGGTTAAAATAAATAACAAAAATTAAGTAGTATTGAATCAAATAGATTAAGAAAAACAACTTAAGAAACAAACATTCAAATATTGTGGTAATTTAAGAAAATTAACTAGTCGGAAAACAAATTTAGTTTTAGCGGAGGCTAAGGAGGATAAGATGATTGCAACTTTATTCCAATTTTTGGAGAGATTATTTTTGTGACTCAAATCCGCTCGCTCCACCAGGGATGCTAACGACAAACTTTATCATTCAGTTAAGCTGCTCTTTTGAATTCTTAATCTATTTTCATATCTAACTTTGTTAAATATTTTTTCTTCACTTTTATGCATTATTGTAGATTGTAAAATATTTTGTTATAAAATTCTTCTTCTTCACCTTCTTTTTTGATGAAATACAAAATTTTTACCATCGAGTTTTTTACTGTATCATATTATATGTACATTTTACATGGAGTATTATATTTTTTTTATAATATCTTCACTACTTTTAATAGAATATAGGCTCATTTTATCTATACTTTTTAAGAAATATTTATTTAAATTAAATTATGTGAGACCATGAAATATCCTCCTACATGGATTGTAGAGAGCCAACGAAGAGATGGACTTGGTCCTGCTATACCTGCAAAGACGAGCATGATCGGCGCCACCCAACCAGGGTAGTCGGCCGGAGGCACTCCGATGGTGAAGTCAATCCTCTATTAAGCAGAATGAAAGTTTAGAAAGAGTAGAGTGATTGTGTGTGGTGGAGGGAGAACAGACATACCTTTCACTTGGGATGCCCCCCCTTTATATAGATGGGGGGTGTGATATTTATTTGGGCTGGACCCTTGTAGGCTTTGTTTGGGTTAGACCCAATAAGCTTGTACTTATATTTTTCTGGCTCCCACAATTGCCCCAAAACTTTCATTGTCTGCGGTAGAAGGAATGAGAGTTTTTTCCTGCCAAGTTACGCCGTTCAAATAGCTGTTAGGTTTTTGATAAAGAACACTTTGGATAAATAAATAAAATGTATGAATGAATGACTGCATGAATGCTTGAATATATGTATAAATGTACGTATGTCTTCAATGTATGTATAAATGTATATATGTCGATCATAGGATGAGGGGGGTGAGCTAAAACCCAGAGAGGAATACAAACAAATCATAACGATGGGCCATGGTATTGTTACCCCCGGGCAAGGGCTGTAGGCCGCGGTATTATAATCCCGGGCAAGGGTGTAATATATTGTCGAGTGCAAATATTGCTTCCAAATATGGACTTTCGTGCTGAGCTAGAAATATTTCTATGCGCTGAGCATGGAAATGATTATCTGAACCAAATAAGACAGATTAAATAAAGTAGATATATCAGCCAAAAAATGGACCACGGTATTATTACCCCCGGGTGAGGGTGTAGGCCGCGGTATTCTAACCTCCGGGTGCAGGTGTAGGCCGCAGTATTTTAACCTCCGGGTGTAGGTATAGGCCGCGGTATTCTAACCTCCGGGTGTAGGTGTAGGCCGCAGTATTTTAACCTCCGAGCATAGGTAAAGGCCGCGGTATTCTAACCCCCGGGCATGGGTGTAGGCCTTTACTGATGGTGCTCCATGCTGAGTGCGAAGATTACGCTGTATTCAGAGACTTTTACTGACTTTAAGTGGCGACCGAGTGCCAATATGGCAAGGACTTTGAATAATGCATCCTGTACCGAATAAGGTGGACGTTTTAATCACCAATAATGTTACTCCGCTTATATGGAATTGCCAAGTAGATATTGGGTCAACTATTTAATTGCCGAGTTGCTCGGTTTGCGTTTTGTCCAAGTTAGACTTGCCCCATTGTTTTAGAATGACAGGTGTTAGTCGGAAGGAACGCAGATTCCCATTGCCCTATGTTGCAGGGGAAATTTGGCTTTGGTAAAATGACGGCGAACAACAATATGCGAACTGCTGACTACCAGATGCGAATTGCCGACTGCCAAGTGTGTAATGTATTGTCCCAAAACTGGCGCTTGCTTGGGGCGGTGTGAAAAGGAGCGGGAGTGTGTAACTTAAGTAAATGTTGTAATGTTTGTACCAAGTTGGCCGAGTATGCATGCATATCAAAGGTGCCGAGATGATATTGCCGAGTAAATTTGATGCACTGCCGAGTAACTAGTGTCAAAACATCGGTGTCTTTCATATATAATGTGATTTTGCCAAAAAGTTGGTCAGCTACACTTGGGTCGGTGATTGTGCTGATCTTTTGGTCGGTGATTTTTCTTGGCTTCGCGGTGTGTCATGTACTGGAGCTGGATTTGCTAAAAACTTGGTTGGCAATGGTTGCCAATTTATTGAAGTTGAGATTCTTATGGAAGTTGAGATTCTTGTTCAACGTATATTTGCCCTATTGCTTTTGAATAAGATTGCTTATTCGGAAGGAATAAAATTGACTTGGGCCAAAATTACCGAGTAGGCCAATAACAATTTGAAACGGATTCCGTGCCCCTATTCGGTGCCATGGCGAAATCGAAATGAAGTCGAGACAAAGTAGGGTGTTTAGTGATATGCGAAGTGAGCCATTGCGCTCAATTTTTTGAATAAATTCTATAATAAATTTTTTTTTTGAGCTGAATTTGCAAATTCTGACTGTACGGATGGACCTAGAATGTGTTAGATAGCTGGAAAGGACTATTGAATCGCTATGATCAAACTCCTGATGGCGTAATTATAGCCAAAATGGATTTAACGGCTTAGCTCACCAAGGTGTAACGCCACTGCAAAGCACATGGTTATTTCTTCACATATTGTTGGATCGTCTTCTCCAGCGAAAGAATTCGATTTTCTGGGCAAACTTTGAGCGGGTCGTACGGCTTCGTTTGAGCTCCGATTTTGACGTGGTTTGT